AACTCCACATATCAGACGTACAGTAACTGACAGTACAACACACAAATTTCTCACAATAGATACACAAGCAAGAACACATCGCTATCCTTTACCAAACAGTTCACAAACAGGACACTCCAGGAAGACCAATAATTGCAGGCTGCGGAGGACCGACTGTCAAGCTCTCTCAATATGCTGACCACCTCCTCATGCAAAGCACTCCTAAAACATATACCATCATATGTACAAGACACAACAGATTTCCTCCGCAGAATTTTCTCAATAAATCAAGGCTTACCATATATGACAACTTCATACTTATCATATTTGAAGTTAAGAGCCTCTATACCAACATACGTAATGATCATGGCATCCAAGCCTGTGTAGATATGTTGAATGAAAGCAATATAATAACTCCTGAACTAAAACAATCAGTCATTGAGATTTTATCTCTCATACTTAATAAAAACTCCTTTGCAATTAACAATGAACACTTTCTACAAATTCATGGTACCACTATGAGATCATCTATATATGGCACCCACCTTTGCAAACATATTCATGGCAATATTGGAATGGAAGCTTCTCAACGAAGTACATAAGATTCATAGATGACACATTTGCAATTTGGACCCATGACATTGAAAAACTCCAGAAATTCTTATCATACATTAACAACTCCCATCCCACAATTAAATTTGACTATACTCATGCTCATAAAAATCAGTCAACTTCCTTAATTGACACAACTATTTACATTAATTCCAACAACAGACTCAAATCAGACGTATACATCAAACCAACTAGTAGAACTCTACTCCTGAATCAATATTCCTCCTACCCGCAAACATGCAAAAACTCTGTTATCTACAGCCAAGCAATACGATATATACGCATCACCACTAACAGTAAGAAACTACAACAAAGACTGGACAACGTACTTATTGCCTTTATGCACAAACATGACAACATTATCCGACATCCTTTAACAAAGCACTACTGTACACACAAAATGACCTACTTAACAAAACAGAAAATGCAAATAAAGCAACTAACAGACCAATCTTTGCAACTCAATACAACAGTAATACTAAGTAAATGCATTGCACAATGGCCAACACACAAGCCCGCCGTACATTACAGCTATTAACACACATCCGATCCCTAAACAATAAAACAAACACTCAAGTACAGTACGTTATCTCAGTTCACTCCCCCCCCCCCTCCCTCTCACGCCTTAACCATTTTTTACCCCAAGTCTCAAAAAAATATCTCAAAACACCATTGCACATCAACACTTAAAATAACACTCTCAACATAAAATAACAAGTTCACAAACACTATTATTACATGAAGTAAACAGATACAACCCAGTATATACACAATTTCCAAAATGATCCTTCAACACCCCTACAATCCATACAACAACCTAAACGCCCATATGTACTCTTCATCTTACTCACTCACTGCGTATGACCAAACACGCAATTTATACAGCTGCATACAGACGCTCTATATAAGCGCTATAGTTATACCACATCCATTCGTGATTACAATCATGGCCCAACGTGTTGGTTTGACAAAAAATATCAGCGAATTTGGTAAGACACTTTATACTTTACATTTATTTTACAATAATCATACACATATTTTACTATTTTTATGTTTATTCACTCTGTAATCCAAATCGGTTTCTGTATTCTTCCTTCTTATACATGTGCCAACCCCAATCCCTGCTGACGAGTCCATCAAGGACGAAACGCCGCGTACAGGGATACTGAATTTTACACACATGATTTTCTCCTCTCGCTCTTTATAATTGACATGCCTCCATACAAGATTTTTAGTACAGCGCGATCATACCTTTTGGGTTTGATCAAAAAATTTTCCACACCACAGGATATTTTACCGTTACAATTTTACATTTGCATCTCCACTTTTATGTTAAACAAGCCTACGCCTACATTTATTTTCTTAGGTTCACAGTTTTACAAATACAGGTTTTTTATCTTTATTTTTCAGTTTTTTCACAAACATACATTTTGCCAACAACACGAGGCCATCACACTATCATATTTCACACTAAACCTTTTGAACTCACATTTAGGGACTATTGTGACATAAATTTATTACTAGGACACCAATATGGTTCTCATTACCTATATCTAAACCTAAAAAATCTAGCAACTATTTGCCACGTTTACTGTAATAGTACTCATTCGTATTTTATAAAGTATGATGACTATGAGAGTTTTCGTGTTCTGACTATGGCTGAATACATTTATGAAAAGCTAAAACTGACACAGACAACATACATTGTAAACACAGCCTATTTTATAGGCAGGCGCTAAACGGGTGTAAATTATAATTAACTATACTTAATATCAGTAGCAAATGCTGACTTGCTACTTAATTTGACGATATATCAAAAACAGCCTCATCTTTCCATATTAACAACCCCATTCAGTTTAAATACAATCGTAGGCTCCAACCATCGTAACTTTAGGCAGCGTTTACACTGTACCGTTTTCGTAGCGTTCTCGTATTGTTCTTAATCCTCAAGGGAACGCAACACAATAGTCTAGTTCTCTCGAACAATACGAGAACGTTGTGACGTCATTATTGTAAATATTATGAATGTTTTAAATGGCTTAATAAACGTAAAAGCCTGATGCACATACAGGGTGTCCCAAAAAGACCCAAAACGATTGAAATAACGTATTGTTAGAATTTGAATGCACTCTGCTGAATCCACAAGTGCATAAAAGCTTGACATCATTGCTTGACATAAGTAAATTTTATGCCTAAAGAAACTGTATAATTAAGAAGCTGCTTTTAATAAATTCACAACAGCAGAAATCGTGAGCTTTACGAAGATATTTTAATCTCTTAATAAGTCGACAATATTTAGCATACGGTCATGTATGTACCCTCTCAATATTTTACGCAGTTTTGCGTTCAGCTTAGTCCTAGGACATTCAGATTCATTGAATATGTTATTTCAATAGTTTTGAGGTTTTTTGAGACACCCTGTATACAATTGGCGGGCTATTGTACTGTCGTTATTTGAGGCAGCGTTTACACTGTACCGTTTTCGTAGCGTTCTCGTATTGTTCTTAATCCTCAAGGGAACGCAAGACAATAGTCTAGTTCTCTCGAACAATACGAGAACGCTACGAAAACGGTACAGTGTAAACGCTGCCTGAATTTACTGATGGGAAGTCGTTTATAAACATTATTTTGCATCCAAGGACATCAAAATAAAGCCGCGTTACTTCGAAAGCTAAAGTTGAGGACATTGTTTTTAATGCATTCGACACATGCCTGACATAAAAAAGCATGATCAATGATAAAAAAATATTCCAAGCACATAGCACATGCTTCGTATGGTTGCGTAATACAGTGATGTTATGCCATTACTGTATGTTGTGTATACAGCATATAGGGTGTATGAAAAAACCTGCGAACTTTGAAATTCAGTGTTTTTAGAATGTGCATGATTCAGAACTAATTTTGATCCCATGCAAGCGTGCGTAAAAACAATAGTCTGATTACAAATAACTTTGTGTTATTTTAATTATACTATCAACGCGGTTAATTAGAATGTATTTTCAAATCCCAGGTGCAAAATAACTAGCACAGACATTGAAATGCTAGTATTAGTAAGCAGCAGAATCATGCAAATTATAGTGTTTGCAGGTTTTTAGATGCACCCTGTAGTGCTTTTCGGCAGGCAAAATTACACGATTTAATTTTCCCATGAAATATCATGTAAAGCATCGCATCTTTTTTTGGCGGCCGTTTCCGAACTGTTGATGCCATGTCTCCGTGTCAATTCATATAAACAATATTTAATTTCAAAAAAAAGAAATGGCAATTTTTCCAAAAGCCGTAGGCTTATCTAGGGAAAGCTTGCCTGACATTCATAAATACGTAGTTTGCATTGAAATTAATAAATATAGAGTGGTAACGAAACGTATGAGAATAAGAATAAAATAAATTTTGACACACACATAGCCATGCACCTGCAGAATTAACAGCGTCTTCGATCTTACAAGGAACATTGCCGCAAGGCATGGCTGAAAAGTGTTCTTAATTTTAACAAAAGCGTTTAGTATTCACAATAAAGTTCTGAACGATTAGGAAAAGATTAGCATTTGTATGTTGCGAAACGTCGGGATGACCGTTCAAAAACCATGATAAACGCATTTTGCTTGTTGAATTTAACCATTTGGAACCAAGTAAATGTGCAGCGGAAGCAAAAAGAACAGCGCGATGAGCAGCATATCGGCCACAATCAAAGAAGAAATGACTGACAGTCTCATTGGTTGAACCACAAGAACATAATGGCGATGGCACGCAATTTATTAAGAACAAATAATGATTTAAGGTACAATGAAATAGTTAACATGCACAACTGAACGAAAGCGTACGAATAGCCTCATTAACTGAACGACAAACGCGCTTAAACTCGCTTGCTTATTGGTCGAGACGAAAAATTATAAATTTTCGTCAGCTAAACGTATACGATCATCACATGACGTTCCAAAACAAACGTACGTATGTGTCGAAACTCTTAAAACCAGGCTTGCTGGTTGGTCGAGACAGTACATTATGAATTTTCGTCTAGTGAGTAAACTAATATATTCTAATCGTCAAGACTATAATTTGAATGTCTGCCATGAAAAAACAAGAGTGCGTAAACACAATTGAATTGAATTTTTAATTACCAGTTATTAACAACAATAGGATGTTGGGACATCCACACATAACTAATTAATGTCAATTCGTCAACCGAAGACTGGCCTCATAATAATTTGTTTACACAAATCTAAAGTACGTGGGGCATAATTAGGTAAGCCTGAGCAACTTGAAGTGTCCTTTCACAATGCAATTATATTTACAGAAAGGAAAGTTAGCTCTCTTTAACTTTGGATTATTAGATTGGGCGCATGTTTGTACCAGGAATAATAGTACAGACTGGCGTTTAAAATGCATGGTTAATTCACTCAGTAAAGCTAGGGATCGGAAAGTATAAGGATAGTGAATCTGTCTTCTATTTCCTCTCCTCGTTTGCGAGTAAACTGTTGGGCGTACATCACGTACAATCTGTAGAAAGGATTCGACACTTTCCACCGTTAAATTCCAAAACAGAAATTGCTCTCTTTCATTGAAAAAGTCGCGACCATTGCATGAACGCCGAACCGAACACACAAGATTGGGAAACAATACTCCTTCCATACGTGCCTTTGGGATGTTTGTTTGGGGGTCGCGGGTATGCAGTTATCAAGAATAATAATTTGCAGAAACTTTCAAAGTTTTCAAGTAATAACTCGCGGTTAACAGTGCATGGTTTATTTCGTTATTTAACCTGCTATATCTTTTTAATGCCTCTACAGCACAAGTATATGCACGGAGAATAAAATGTTACACAAAATTGCTAAACACCGCAGAGCGGTTGCAATCACATGTAAATCGTCTACCATGGCTACGGTTGAAATGATTTAAAAAACACGTGTATTTGCATAAATAGTCGAGTAAATACAATACCAATCTAAAATGTCGTGTTTTGTGATCAGTGTTTATGCCTCGTTCTTTAGAAAGATAAGTAAGATAATTTCTATAGTTTATTGTCTTTTATTGTTATGATCAACCAATCACAAAGCCATGTTCATATAGGTTGGTGGCGACCCAATGTACATTATTAACATAACTGAATATTCGTTCGCTAACGTCGAGTTGTGCATGTTAACTAATAGTTAACATGCACAACTCAACGAAAACGAACGAATATTCAGTTATGTTAATAAGGATAGCTTATTTTATATGTCAAGATTACAATTATACATGCATATATCAAAACATAGGTTATTGTTTAGCAAATGGCTATAAATTGAATCAAAATATAGTCTTTGGGATGTGTTATTTGGTTTTAGGATACACATACTTTTTGACATTCTCTGCATGAATAGTGAAAAGCGATACAAATTGCACTTTTCATCCTTGTCTTTATGGAAATATTAAATGCAAGTAGACTTTAATAATGCCTTGATGTCTTTCAACCGTAGTCACGATGGACGAGTTATATGAGACTGCAACCGCTCCGAAATTTTTATTAGTTGTACTTAATCTTTTATTCTCCGTTTATTTGTGTGTACTGAGTGGGAATATTAAATAATTGTTAGAGGAAGAAAGGTATCTCGGCTTAAATAACGAAGTAAACCATGCATTAATTGTTAACCGCTAATCTGTTACTTCAGCGTTTCTATATAAATTATTATTCCTTGCAAAGGCTGGTACCCAAGCGAACATCCCAACTCCACGTATTGAGGGAGTCTTGTTTCCTAACTTTGTAAGTTTAATTAATGGTCCGGATTTTTCAACGAATTACAGTAATGCCTGCCTGTCAATGTGAACATTTGTTTTGGAGTTTAACATGGGCACGTGTCAAGTCCTTTCTAAAATATTGAATATTTGACAATGGATTTCGAACAAGTTATAATTGTATTGTCCTTGCGAGTATAAGTCCGTTCGCTGTGTAACACCAGTCGCAAATTCATGCATGATGTGCTGTCAGCTGTCTTAACCAATGAGAATTAGCTCGTTTGTTACGTAGAACGGTATGTGATTATAATATTCGTTCAATATCAGACGATAATTCATGATGTGCTGTCCCTACCAATGAGCAGGCCAGTTTCTATGCATTTCGACGAATAGATCGTTCGTTTAATGAGGCTATACGTTCGTTTTCGTTGAGTTGTGCATGTTAACTAATAGTTAACGTCCACCGAAGCGCAAGAACGAACGAATAGCCTCATTAACTGAACGACTGTACCGTCCACATTCGTTCAACTCAACGGTTTCTATTGGCTGAGACAAATTTAATTAGCATATTCGTTTCGTTAGTTGAGCTATCGTTGCGTTAAAATTCTTTGTGATTAGCTGTGTAAATATTTCTATTCGTATGAAGCAATTTGCTGCATGAGTACGTACAGATTGTATAGAAAAAAGTCCACCTTTTCAGATTCAAATTTTGAAAGAGTGCACTGTCGTTAAACTAAATGCAATTTCGTATGCGCATGCATGTGTGATTAATTAAAGTGATTTGAGCTTCTGTTTGTTGAGGAGGTAAAACGAAATATGGCAGACGACGTTAAGGTCATAAATATAGTACTCGTAAATCTTCAGAATGCTGTTCACGCATATTCAATTTATATACCTGTAATCCATGCGGCCATAGAAGAGGCAACAGATCAGAGAGAAATAATTGACGAAGATGAATTGAATGCTTTATCTGCCTGTATCAGGCAGCTCTATGCGCTGCTCAGTTTAATAGCAACGTGCGCTCAGTCCATTTTACCAAGAGCTTGGACTGAACAAATTCTAAACCTCGACTTCGTTGGTTCACATTTCCCGGGAAGAGATTTCTGCAGCGAATTAGAAAGGTGTGAGCATTTGTTTTGGTCGATGACAGGCGAGAGCGTGGAATCGTTTCGTCAACTGGTGCACGACATGCTGCCGTATTTACTCTCTTTGTTTTCTTTGTTTGATTTCCAATCTCACGAAATCTCTCATGCCTCACGATATCGTTCGCAATCATGTCCCAGATCGGACCGATCTCCATATACCGCTCATGAATCACGGCTCGTTCCACCTCGCCTATACGTCTTACTTATCTTGGAAGCATTATTGAAACTATGGACTATGGTTTACGCGTACGTTATAACGCTAAGTTTGAAAGGCATGCATAATATGCACAGACAACGAATTCTACTGTACAGTCAAGACAGCCCACATTGTGTGTTTTGTTTCAGCCAGGTTATGTTGTGTGTTCTCTATCCTCCAGGTCGTTTCAAACAATCAAAGCGCTGGCGTAAACAACATTTTACTTTAAGATATGTTCACTAGTTGTTTAGCACATTGACATGAATATTTGTATGTATGAGTGTTTGGCACGCACATTTAGGAATCATTTGCATTCATTCGAATGGGAAACATTGTTAAGAATGTTTAATTCGTAGCAATTCGTAGCTGTTTATGTATGATCATCGTCATAGACAACCAACGACGATTAATAATGATGATACGCAGTACAAGGAATGTCATAGAGTTACTATAAACGGTGACAGAAAAACTGGCAAGAAATTTGAGTTTGAACTTGACAAAGCGTACCAGGGCATGTCCGTTTTGTAGTAAGTAGGTCGTAATGAATGGGTTGTAACGTATCTCCCACAGTTACTAACTCATCATTCGTTCACTCGTTCGTTCACTTTGGTCTATTCGTACATGTTTTAATATGCAAACCAATCAGCTTTCGCGATTTCAATGAAACAATTTACATACTTGCATATTCGTTCGTTCTCGTGCTTCGGTGGACCGGTTAACTAATATTATAGCTGTTCAACTTATTGACTGCACGATAGCGTACCGACAGATAAAAACTCGGATTCTATAGATGGTTTAACAAGCGCTTCCATTTCATCACACACAGACTCAATTACTTTTCAAATAAGATTTGAATAAATGGTTGAACAACATCTGGAATATGTAATTTATTGGCCATTCGGAGCCAAAAGCGATTAGAATGAAGCTAAATTGAACCTGGGTGCGAGGTTGCCACTGAAAAGAGCATATCAAAAATGGTACTAGGTACAGAAAGTTTAACGAAATTTTAAAAAACATGATTGAACATGTATGAATCGTAACGAGCTTTCAAAATTGTGAAAGTGACTTCGAAATATAATAGGAGTAACCGTATTGCTGTAACTTCCAAAATGGCGCTTCAGGGCATCATTATAAGTTAGAAGCTGTGATAAGAAGGTGAAAGCATATTCACCGAGAGCTCTAGCTACCACCAAAACATCAAAAAGGCAAAGTGAACATGATAGATGTACGTTTGAACGTCTTTTAGATACTTGAACGACTCCCAGGCTGAAGTCGCATCGACTTGGACTCTGGTCGGACTCGTGTCGCAATTTTTGTGATTTATCTTGTTAATCAGATTAATGATTTGTCACTTGACTCGGAACAAAATGACTTCTGACTAATTGATTTGGACTTGCATGAAATGACTTGTTACCAACGCAAGTCAAACGTATAAAGTCGTATATATCTAATGAAAATTAACTTTTCTATAACTTGCACTGGAAATTTATCGATGCACATTGACTAGTGCAGTCAGATTGGCATATCGCAGTATGACTGTGAACTAGTATATTAATGTATAATTGTCATGAGTGCCTTCACAGTTCATGGTAAATAAAAGAAGTGTACAGAACGAGTTGCGACCTGACTTGGTCACAGATAAAATGACTGGTGACTTCAATTGCTTCTCAGAGTAAATGAGTTGTGATCCAACATCTTGCCATTGGAACAAGCATGTTTTTCTTAGCAGAAGAAGGCTTTCAATAACGCCGTCAGATACTTCAGTTATTAATGAATCGTTTGCCAAATGGAAGCGTGCCAAACATTATGCAATAGTATATGTGGCTTTTCGGACAGAAACCGTTTATTCAGTCACTGTCTTTCGTTAGAACGTGTGGCCATTGCAACTCTTTGATTAGTAATATTTCCGACATTTTCTAAAACCTCACGTAAATGCAGGACGCAGAATACAAACTTTTAAAGACTTAAAGAATGAGTCTCACGGTAATGTTTTGCGCGCCTTTTGTTTATGCTTACATATGGCATGCAAGGGTCGATCTAAAGTGTTATATACAAAAGATATGATCATATGGGACGTAGATAACGAATCGTTTTAAAAGACACAGAAATTAATTGCATTAATAATAACAGATATGTAGTATTTACCATCGCCTGGAGATTCCATTGATAGTGCAAAGGCTCGTCTTCGCCCAAATTCAGAAGCAAGTGCCGTGCAGAATCACTGTGTGTCTTCGTTGAGTATCCAATAGATTCTTTTCTGGTAATCTACATCTCATGTACGTCCTTCTTTGACTTCTTTGATTTTATACGCACAAATCCTATCTCGAGATGATCGGTACTGATTATTCTTTACATAAACATCGTCACATGCACTATAGACTTCGCTAATTTGTCGTTTATTAGCTACAAATAAATATTATGAAATGCTTAACAGCAGGTCAAGCTATATAATATTATTCACAGCCCAGAATTTCAGGAGTAATAATTATTTTATGATGAAGATTGTTTGGATATTCGCGTACTTTATAGTCACACAAACTCCTAATGTACAACTAAAAGTGGCCATTTTATTTGTCGTGTTCGATTCGTATTCTGGCGTATTAAAACATATGATTAAAACGAGTGCCATAATTGATTGCGGTTTGAAAAAGAAATTTGAAATGTAGCCAGCTTACAGCCTTACGCGTGTTTACTCAATGACATACGCCAGAAAACGAATCGTACATGCACGATTAATCGCAGCGTGTAAACGTAGCTTAAAATGGCCGAACAAGCTGCGACCAAGCGCGCAAAGCATTACCGTGAGACTCATTCTTTAATCTCTGCTATTAGCCTAACCAGAACCTAACTCTAACCCCAGGACAATAAAATCCTAAATGTATTCCTGCAGCAGCCCCAACGCTAAACCAATGTGTACTAATTTTAGGTTCGACACATGCCAAGTTCGACGTTTGACCCTGACCTTAGACGCCGTCCAAGCACTGTTGACAACGGTAAAGAGCATATTTTCACGCCTCGCAGAGTACGCTAGCATTTCAAGCCGTGTCAAGCAATTTTTCTAGCAGAGTTCTCTGAAGGTTAAAGCTCTGTTTTGCATGTTCGAAACTGTATCAGTTAAGTTCACACGAAAATAAATTCAAGCCAAGATTTCCATACATTCATTTATTTCAAACGGTTTGTTTAGCCGTCGTCCTCACGCCGCCGTCTTATATACGTAAGTTTTTCCTTAATGTTTCCTTGAATTCCCTTTTTAATAATTATTAGTTATATTATTTAATAATTATTAGTTTCACTCCAATATTTTAGTGTTTTTCCTTCCTTTCCAATTCATGTTCTGCCGAATAGGAAAACAATTTACCGATTGGGATGCAATAATTCGCCGACTATCATGACGACTGGGGGTATCCCCCCGCCACACACACACACACACAAACGCCCCTCAAACGCCGCCCCTGGTTTCTATTGACTTGAATTTTACTTTCGATTACAGAATTCCAGCGTTCGATTTCTACTCCTACTATATTTCTTAACATGCAATAGACAATTTCCCATAACAGCACAATCTCGTGAGCAGAACTGACGGGCATGCTATGGGTACGGGATTGTCTTTGACATAGAATTGTGTGGAAAATGTGACGGGTACTCGCGACATTTTTTGAAGAAATTGGTTGTCCGTAGTTACCGTTGATTTCACGAAACTTTGTCCACACATTCTCATTTCGAATTAATGTGAAAAAATATGTGAAACTCAAATTTCATAACGTGAAATATTCATTTCATATGTGAAATTTTCATAAGTATGAAATATTTGAGTGCGCATCAAAATCATACGAATTCCGCCCCTCACGTGCATCCCGCCCACGAAATGGCCATTGACATGTTGACCAATTCGAGTGCCATGTTGCGTCAGCTATAACTCTTAAATGCGCATCGAACAGTAACAAAATGTCAACGGGAAATAACGGTCAAATTTACTGTCAGAAAAATCAGGCCATTTTGATGCTGGCAAACAGTATAAAAGCAGGGTGGCTGCAGCAGTTTGTCATTCGACGAGAGAGGAACTCAAGAACAGATATCTTGGAAGAAACAACAGAAGTGAAATACTGAAGCCGAAATACTGAAGATGATGCTGCAGTGGTTGATACTATTGACGCTGTTTGTTCATAACAGTTTAGCTTTCGGGCTGTATGATGATACAGATGGTATGTTTTATTTGAATCAATATAATTGCATTTAGATTTAGCACGGACCCATGATGCTTCGAGGTTAATGCCTCTTCATCCGCGGTTACATTCCAACAGTGTGCAGTTGCGTCCATGTTATTATTGCCTCAGTAGTGTTGTTCTTAAATTTTAACAAAGGGCCATTGGCCATTGTCAAATGACACATTGGTCAAATTTTGGTTGAATTTGGGCAAGTGCAACTGTTAGGAAGTGCGAAATTTTGAAAGGAGGACGAAAATCCTAAAGAAAAGGTGAAGTTTCTAAAGGCCTGATTCCACGAGCGCTTTTTCTCGGCGAAATGCAAAATATTTCGCCTGTTTCTTTTGAATTGCGACCACTCGAATAAATTATTTCTACTTGATTGCTCACAATTCAAAAGAAACTGGCGAAATATTTCGCATTTCGCCGAGAAAAAGCGCCCGTGGAATCAGGCCTTAAAGGGGGGCGAATTTCTTAAAGGGGGCGAGTTTCCTAGGAATTTCTCCCCCCGGGAGGGCGGTATTACTAGGAATTTCCGCTTAGCTCGGGGAAAACCTTAAATCTTAATTGAAATAGCTGTGTACTGTATGTATCGTATACAGTAATGTCCGTATTTGTACAGCTCCAGCGAGTTAACGCTCTATAGAGCGTCTTGTTTGTAGGAAAATATGACTCAAATTGTACACTTAAAGTGTTCTTTAAGACACCTATTGTTGTTTTGTCTTCAAGCCTTTTCTTGATTAAGATGAGCTGATCATATTGATATTAGTACTTCGCCATACATATTCGGAGGGTATCTCTGTGACTCACTGACTTGTGATCAGTTGTTGACTGTATAAGCCAATGGACATTTGCATTATAGACTAAATTTTGATCTAGACAAAAATTTCATCACAGCATGAAAGAGCATCACAAAATTAGTAATATTCCAAAGTTTCGGTTTAGAAATGTTGTATAAAATGCGGATAATATAGCCTTGCGAAGTTTGCCGTTTTTCAGTCATTTTGTATTAAGCACGCGAAATTGACAGCCCAATCGGGTGTTGGGGCATCAATTTCCCGTTTGTAATACAAAATGACTGAAAATTGCAAATTTCGCAAGGCCATATTATCCGCATTTTACAACATTTCTCAACGAAACTTTGGAATATTACTAATTTTGTGATGCTCTTTCAAAGCTGCATGTGAACAAAATTTTTGTCTAGACTTGTTTAGATCAAAATTTAGTCTATAATGCAAATGCCATTCGGAGCTTTCACTGCGCATCCAAATGACGCGTCCTGCGTCTATATAAATGATATATTTAACCTCTGCACGAATTTTTTTTCAAGACTATTTCTACTTCGCTGTTTGCTTGCACGAATTTTTTTTCTCTGACGTAATGGCTGCACGAATTTTTCCCCAGGCATTTTCCTTTGCACGAATTTTTTTTTGGGAATTTTCACCCCCCCCCTCCCGGGATTTCTAATGGTCCGCCCCTTATCCCGCTTGCCGGGAAAAGTTTCCGGCTGTGACGTAGCACTGAACATCAATTGAATTGAAAAGTTGCTGACACGACAAAAAGTTATCCCGCTAAGCGGGAAAGTTGTGTTCATATGGGGAAAACATTATCCCGGTCACCGAGATCTCGCCTGTCAACAAGCGAGATCTCGGTACACGGGAAAACTTTTCGTCTCATATGAACGCAATGTAACTTTTCATATTATTTTCGTAACAATTAAGGCGAGATTTCGCTCGTAAACTTGTCGAAAAGTTTTCTCGCTAGCCGGGATAACTTCTGCCCATATGAACAGGCCCTTAGTTCCCGCATGGTTGATTCGTTTTAAATTAGAAATTATATTCCTTTAAATGTATCTTTCTTTATTTTGCTTTACACAGAAGGCAAAATATGCCAGTACAAAAATTATTTAACGGCAAGCTCGGTTACGGCTAATAAGTAATGACTAATCTATTCAGACTATGTGTTCTTTCCTCAAAACAGATTATGATATTTGGCGACGTCAACTCGGTGGACCTGGAGTACAACCAACATCAAAAACTAAAAACGGTATAATAAGTCAGTAAAACTAATTAATAACTAATTAATAATTCATAGAGCAAAAATCCAATTCCAGGTACGTAAACAAAATTTATAGTCACGTGCATCAGCATGCATGCGCCTTAGTGGTCAAAAATACAGTAGAACTTTGTTATTTAAATTAGACAAAGATTTTCATGAAAAGATTTTTTATTTTGGAAGTCATGAATAATTAATGAATAATTAATGATATAATACTTACAAACCAAGCCAGGGGGCTTTATTATTTTTATATTCAATTTATCGTCTTTCTACAATTGTGTTTAGAGCTTGTATATATATTATATATATATTGCCAATGCTAATACCCTTACATGCATATATGCTGTACCTATCCATTACCAGTGCATTGCAGTGTTCTTAATTAAAGAAACTTATATAATATTTCATAACCTCAAAATAAGCTGTATATACCTCCGCCATGTTTTTGGCGATACTCTTTCATGCCGAGCACTTCCTCCAGATATACTATAGCTCAGTGTTATTAAAAATCTATCCATTACCAATGATGCTAAACAAACGTCTCACATATTTCAGGTTGCCGTAAAGATATTCTCATCATTGTGGACAGTTCCAATTCTATTGGGACAACATTTTTCGAAAACATACGGAAATTCCTATTAAAACTTGTCGAAAAATTGAACGTGCGTGAAGATGGCACACACCTTGGTTTCATCACATTCTCAAGTGCATCTAGAACCAAGAAATTGTTGGACGTTGGCGAGAAAACAAATCCAAAAAAGTTACAAGAGTGGTTGAACAGTTTGAACTATAAAAACAAACTGATGGGCGGTTATACCAGGACAGGTCTTGCATTTGAGATAGCAGACAAAGTAAGTCAACGTTTTGCTTGTACAACACACCATATTAAATAGACACCTTGATATCATGGATTGTAAAATAACTGGATAGGAAACTTCTGACGTCATTGACCTCATCCTTGTTGAAAAACGTGACGTCATGCGTATTGCGAATATTACCAAAGTTCTCGGCATTTTTGTTGTTTTGCTATATTTTCCACTTTAAAAGGGTGATATTGAAGCATAAACTGGTCTAATTGTTTTAAAAACATGCCTAAGCCACGACAAAATATTCAAGGTAAATGTTTTCGCCTTTGTTTTGTATTTTTTTCCATTTGTAGCTACGAAATTGGCGTCACAAATTTTAACGAAATTTGCGATGTATTTTTCACTGCTTAGTGCTTGAAATATTTGCTAAAATTGACTGGGAGTACTTAATTAGAGTTTTCATCGTAGAATGGCGTGGTTATATTTATTTGCTCTTTCACTAAAATGTTTAGCTGAATTATTGCTAAACATGCCGTTTTTGAGAATTTGGTATTCAACCAGGTTGGGACATCCAACGACGCCATCAGCCCATTGAAAACATTAGGTCACGTCAGCTAGTTTCCTATCCATTTATTTTATTATCCATGTCCACATATAGTTAATGAATGAAAATACATGGTTAGGAAACTTCTAAAACTTCTTTGTTTTAGGATCACAGTTAAGAATTATTTTATGTTGCTATTGTTTTGCATCTATACTATTCTATACTAAAGCGGTTGATGCTTGAAAGGCAGGAAAATGTTTTATATTTGTTAAACATAAAACTTTTTCCGTGTTGATATACACTGCAGTTATATCAACACGAGTGGGAATTGGGAAAACGAGAAATTGTGTGGAAACACGATGCCCGAAGGGAGGAGTATTTTCACGCAATTTCGAGTTTTGCCAATTTCCACGAGTGTTGATATAACTGTGTATATATATATATATATAGAACGAGAGAACGTCTGCAGTTGGATGATTCCTTGTTCTGGTCACGTGGATTTTCCCCAGATTTGTGGAAAGGCCTCTGATTGGACAGTGCTTTATTTGAATAATATATGACAAATGAAGATATTTCGTTGGTTATTGATAATTAGCATGCGTTTAAAATAATAACACAATTAAATTCAGAGATTTCCAGATCAAGCATCAAAGATTTCCTTCGGGACATACAAAGGTTTGCCGAAAGACATGAAATAATCTGAAAACAATACACCAGAAATATATTGCATACCTTTCTCGATCAAGGGATTTGTTTTGAATGCGAACAATGCTGAACGATGATCATAGCCGGCAAGTCTGGTGTACATGCAAGCTCAGTTCTTGGCGTACATATGGCGTATAGTTGTTTACAAATGGTTATTCAAAAGGTGCATTTTAAAGTAATTAAAAGTTAACTGGCCAAGTAAGACGAAGTTGAACACATTAAAGAAAATGCTTTGTCGCGTGGGGTCGGGACATATAAACAGATTGTCAATTTTAATAATTGCAATTATAAATTGTCAATTTCCGTCCGATAGTTTGTTGGGTTTTATATATTTGTTGTGTTTTATATATTTGTTCGCCGAGTGTCCAAACACTAGAATTTTATCTTGATTTTCTTTAACTTCGATACAGCACAAAATTAAACTCAACAGATTATATTTCGAGTCTTTCAAACCTTTATATGCCCCGAAGGAAATCTTGATTCTTAATCTGGAAATCTCTGAATTTAATTGTTATTTTAGCGCATGCTAATTATCAATTAACCAATGAAATATCTTCATTTGTCATATATTATTTAAATAAATCACTGTCCAATCAGAGACGTTTCCACAAACCTGAGGAAAATCCACGTGACATGCAGAACAAGGAATCTTCATCCAACTCACAGAAGTTCTCTCGCGCTCTTTGTCGAGAGTAACGTCTGTACACAGGCTACCAACCAATCGAATTAAATTACAAAATTCAACTAGCCAATCAATTGTTAGAAACATACAAACAGATCACTCGTAATCAACTTGTTTTTAAAGATGTTTAGTCAAACAAGCCCTTTGAATAACCGCGATACAGTAGAGGATGTTATATTGTTGTTGACCGACGGAGAACCACATGCCTCAGGAAGGGACGGAGGAGACGAAGGGGAGAGAAAAATGGTTGTTAAGGAAACAAATAAACTAAAGGCGAAGAAAGTTAAAATCATCGGCGTGGCAGCTGGAACATCCAAGCAGAATAAAAAGTTTAAGACGTACATCCAAAGCTGGGTAACTAGAGGAACCAAAGTAGCAGAAATGTCGTCGTTGCGCAAGCAGAAGCGCGACAAAGTTGTGGATGAAATAGTGAATATGCTAATTAGTCCTTTGTGCAATAAAAATACAGTCCCAGGTAAGTGCTGCAGAGGTAGAAATTTACCCCATAAACCAATTTCGAGTTCCCACTGCCATCCGAATGACGCGTTCTCATGCGTTGGGAGAAATTGCAGCCGAAGCGCTGTGAGTACGGGGCAGTGAGATCCTATGAGAAAAGTGAAGCTAAGATGGCGGCCATTGATGTCCAATAGCCCTAAAGGTCGTATACAGTTTTTATACCATTTTGCCCAGCTCAATCCGTCCGTTTTTTTTCCTAACGGACCGTATCGCTAACCGAGTTATCAGTTCATAAAACCATAGTGTTATTCTTTAAATCGATGTCAAAACACAAAATTTTGGCACACTCCTTGCTAAGATGGCGGAAATTGAAGGAGCTATGGACGTCAGTTCCAGTCCTTTTCTATTGTTTTTGTCTGCGCGGTTAACACGAAGCTGGCTTCACTTTTTGATACGAGTTCTTTCTTCATGGAGCTCGCTGGTATATGTGGGCGTTTCAGAGACTCTAAATTTCATAATTTTCATGGGGAAACATGCCCCCATACCCATTTGCTTGCGCTGTAATTTAATAGCTTATGCAATAAAAAATAGGGTTAAGCATTAAAATAACCCGAGAATATCATCAAAATATAAATTAATGTTCCCTTGTTGTGACGATCAGAGTTATGCATATCCAAGATCGCGAATATTTTTTAAACCAAGAACGATAAAGAAAATCTTTATGAAGCTTATGAAATATATTGAATCTCTCTTCTAAATAGATGAACTCTTTTAGAGTTCTGTTAGAATCTATTACTATTTCCATTTAACATGAGTATCATTTTTCTTTTATTTCCAGGCGAATGCAACTGCAAAGGCGATAGTGGTGGAACAGTTACAGAATATATGAAAAAAGATGAACCCACAACCCAGGTTGAATGGGTAGTCCCAATATCATGCACCGGGGGTGCTTCTTATACCGTGTATCCACCTGGTTCTAAATCTGGAGATAAATTTGGCCCGGGCAAACATGTGATTACTTACTCGAGCTCGTACATTAACAATGCTGGAAAGAATGTAGATGTCAAATGTCCTGTTCAGTTAATTGTTGTCGGTAAGTGATAATAACTAAAGATATTTTACAACTTTTTAATCAGTATCTTACAATTCGCATAAAGATTATAAAAGGGGGAGCATTGCGGGATAGATTCACTAAAAAGAAACGAACAAATTGACATAGAGATGATAAAATAATAAATCTCGGGCATTGAAGGAAAACTTCAGGCTTGCCAAAATTCCAGGACAAATTGAAGCTCGCTATAACTGGGGGCAAATTTGAGTTATACCATGCAGGAAGCAAAACCAAGAAAATCCATCATTCACCTCTTGGCTACAATTCAAGTATTCAATCCTGATTTTATCAACAGTCCTGACTTGTTGTACATATATTTGTGACGAAATTTTAAGATGTTTTTATATCGTGGAAAATGATTAAAATTTACGAAGACACCGCTCTTCTACCGTTTCAAGATTTGCTTTGTATTAAAAGTCCACGTAATCTTGTTGATTTTGAACTTTTAATCCTCGTTTAAACTATTGCTAGAATGTTTTCAAAGTTGTATATATTATTTTCGTAATTTCCCGCTCCTCCTATAAACATCTATATTGAAATTTCGCGAATTTTAGCCAAGAAAGGTTTGCTATAAGCATCACTTAAAAACGTAATGAAATGTTAAAATGTTAAAATACTAAATGTTTAAAATACTAAAAGTTTTAAAAATTCTAAAAATCCCTTTCGACACTAGTTCTATATTAATTGGCGTTTACTAGTTTCGTCGTTAGACCTCTTCAGAACCCGCCATTTTTTTTACGAAACTAGTAAACGCCAATTAATAGAACGAGTGTCAAAAGAGGTTTTTAGAATTTTTAGAACTTTCAGTATTATAAACATTTAGTATTTTAACATTTCGTTACGTTTTTAAGTGATGCCTATAAACATCGCGGCTTTGCATCCGGGAATGAGAATTTACATCCCGGCAACGAGATCTTATATAGCTAATCAGAGAGCGTTATTTGCCCCCATTAGGAAGCTTCAATTTCTCCCTCGATTTTTCCTACAATGCTCCACTCTATTCTTTTATAATCTCTATGGGTATTGCGTTCAATAAATTCAGAATAAAATGGATCATATATAAAGGAATAGTTTTATCACTAAATTCGGGTGTTTTGGTTCATTTATAGCCTGCTCGCAGCCCGAAATTGTTCGGGCTGCGAGCAGGCTAGTTCATTTAGGGCGACTGAAAGCTTCGTTTATATTCATTTTATTGTCGCTAGGATTGTCACGGCAGTATTGCTATAGGAAGATTTCAATGTTGTCAATTGGCGTGCGATCATACATCCGGGACTTGCAATCGCTGGCGATTATGACGCAACTCCTTGAAAAATACATGCAGTGCACCATTGAAAATACAATAAAGGCACCTTTGCAGCTGGCCTAAAAATCCTTTGCATAACAATATCTGGAGGGCAAACAAAATTGTGCTTTGTCTTACCCCTTTGTTCAAATTTAAAAATCCTACGGCTTTCCGTGCTTTCCAGTCACATATTGTTCTCGACTAGTTTTAGTTAACTGCAAAGAGCCTATTTGTTCCTCGCGCAATTTCCACGCAATTTCCTCTATGGCCATTCATGCAATTTGGTATGTGATAGTTGTTTTAATTTCTTTATTTAGCCTGTGGATGTCCTTCTGACAATGCAGTCACTATACGCTCACCCCTCGATTCAACAAAGCCAATTAGATATCCGGTCAGTTGGTCCAAACCTAAGCCTGTTTGCACGCCCAAAATCGGTCAAATCAAATTATTACGGATACCCAAACATATTTGGGAGGATTATTCAGCTGGTCAATATACTTACACGTACAAGTACAGAGTGGCGGGCAAGTTTGATCTAGAATGTGATGTGAAGTTTGCTGTCCCATGAGCTGTAGGTCGATAACCATGAGATAACCTTCCGTCACATTTCAAGGAACGTTTTGCTTGCTTATACGTAGAAAATAACAATAGTATGTTATTTGTATACATTACACAAATGATGATACATTAGTGTTATCATATTGATTTTTGCCATTAAACGAAATACATTCCACAAAATGCAGCATTGTCGTCTAATTGTTCTGTTACTTATTTATGGTTGAATATTATCGCACTCGGGGGGAGGGGGGTTCGTGACACAGCTCTTGTAGACGAGTCTGTTATTGCTACATACATTCAACCAAGGTGGATTTTAGTGGAAATTGCGGGGAGGTTCTGCATGCTTTGACTTTAATAAACACCACAGGTTCTCCAATTAGAGAGTAAAAAGTATTGCTTTTGAAATTTTCCTATATTGTAACTGATAATTTGAATGCCTGAGCATCAGTATGCAAAACCCACGGAAGCGTACTGAAATACAGGGTATCGCAGTGTCTTGAAAAACGAGGCCTGAACAGAATAACTCTATTCTTGTTAAGTACAAGATTTTCTACTCCTGGGAATTTAAGATAGCTTCTAATATTATAAAATGAGAGTGACAACACAAAATGGACAAATTACTAATCAGACACACCGTCAGCTCGAGCAAACATGGTTGAATTGACCACAGAGCAAAGAATTTTTATTGTGTTAAATTATACGCTAGATTGTATTTCAAAGAGTTTTTATTGTGTTAAATTACTTTTGGATTTGTGACCAGTTTAAATTTGTTTTGAACCTGTATCCATTATCCATCTATGTTTATAAACAGAATCTACAGTTCTAACCCGTGTTTTTTTTATGCTACGGTTTTTAAACCAGTTCTAAACTGATGATTTTAAAACAGGCCGAATTAAACCAAAGGCTCGGCCGGGCCAAAGCAGTCAGGGAAACAAAGCGAGCTTGAGAAAGCCAGAGGATCAAAATTAACATAAAACACATCAGTGCAGGTATTATGTATATTCATAACGAGAAAACCAACCAATGATCAATCATATTTTTGAACCAATCAATAACCAGGGAATATTAATAAGTTTGTGTCTTCTCAGACGTCCGACACGAAAACCTAACCATATATAAGCGCTACAAAAATTTTGAGAATCATTCATTCATTTCACTTCAATTCTACAGTTTAGAAGAACATCGAGGAAAGAAAATATTGAAAGATGTCTGGTCGTGGTAAAGGAGGCAAAGGTCTTGGAAAAGGAGGCGCCAAGCGTCATCGTAAAATCTTACGAGACAACATCCAGGGAATCACAAAACCCGCTATTCGTCGTCTTGCTCGTCGTGGTGGTGTAAAACGTATCTCGGGTCTGATCTATGAAGAAACTCGCGGTGTTCTCAAAGTTTTCCTCGAGAACGTGATCCGTGATGCCGTCACCTACACCGAGCACGCCAAGAGAAAGACCGTCACTGCCATGGATGTCGTGTACGCTCTCAAACGACAAGGACGAACCCTGTACGGATTTGGAGGATAGATGATCGCTTCCTAAAGAATAATCTCAAACAAACGGCTCTTTTAAGAGCCACCAAATTTCATAAAAGAATGCAAACGTAATTCGAAGGTTCTGTCCGGTTCAGATTTGACGTACTTTTTAAGGGACCATCTCCAAACTACCAAATGGAGAACTATTAAGTATGAAATTATCTCGTTATTAGATTGCTAATTGGCATAATTTGCTTGGGTAATATCAAGCTTCGGGCATCTATACACGCGATAATTTTTCCTTTACTCTTTAGTGTATTTTAATTCTAAGGCTAACTTGGCTTGACTGCCTTTTTTAGATCATTTTGACTGACATTTTTAATAGATAATAATAATAAATAGCTGCCCCTTGCAAGTTCCAATAACCCATATATCAATATTTTGCAAAAATCCTATCTGGAATTAGTAGATTCTTGTCGAGAAATAACCATACTCATCAAATACCTCTTACCCCAGCACAATTAAACACTTGAAACTACAAGGGCGAGAGAGTTGGCAGCACACTATTCAAATCCTTATAACTTATCGTTAATCGAGCTTGAAAGGTCCCCTCGTAAACAATGTGTGACTGCCATCATCAACTCGCACTCTCGTGTCACCTGCATGGCTGAAGCAAGCACATATTAATTGTGGGAAAAGTTCCACATTACTACGTTAAAACAGTCCATCTTGCCCAAATTGTGCCTTGTTATCATATTACTGAATTCTGTAAGTCGTATTATAACATGCCCTAAATCATCTTTTTTTACTGTCTTGCACTATAGCCAATTTTATTAGTCAAGAGAAAAAGTGTTGCCTTTCGACATAGCCGGTTCAGCCAGATTTTTTGCTCAAATGCCGTGAAGACATATTATTTTTGAATAAATACCAAGGCTTCTGATTCTAAACAGACTAACAAATTAACATTATGATAGCAAAATATAAAGCGATGCTAAACTAATACAAAAAAATTAAACAAAAAAATTTTTTGTCAGAGCTTTAAATTTGTACAAGTAACGAATATTTTTTTATTTACAAATTTGAAATGCTTTCAAATGCCAACAGCTAACACTCCCAATTATTGCAATATTCGCCTGATTCGGGCATTTTTGCATGCTTCTAACCTGCAAACTGAATATCTGAGATTCAATCTTGAACGGCCTTTGCCAGTGTAGGTAGTGCCAATAACAAGAAAAATTTAGATTGACATCGGGATGCAACTATATACCTGAAAAATACAAGGAGAATGCTACTAACTTTCTGACAAAGGGCATGCATTCACTCGAAACGTCGAAGTTCTCCTTGTATTTGTCAGGTTATAGTTGCATCACTCCCTATCAAATCTGAAGCTTTCTCGATCTGAGATTCACATGACCGCAGATTCATAGCCCCATGATCACCCTCGTCGTAATCCAATCATAGATATCTTATATACAGTAGATAGCACATCTATTTTAGCAAAATTGAAGCCAAGAATATTCCAGCGGTTACCCCCATTTGAATAGATGGCGGCCATGTTGGTCGTTCCGACTCGCTAATAAACGCTTAAAAATAACAATAACTTTCATCATTTGAATACTTTAAGAATGTATTTGGAATAGGGTTAACTTAATATTTAAGTTCCCAGTTTAAGAGATATAGGGAATATACGAATCTTCTCCCATTTCATGGGAACGACCTGAGACTGCAATCACGGCTTCAATTTTTGAATTGCAGAATAACTAGATGCACTATCTAGTGTATATAAGATATCTATGAATCCAATGGACTTCTGAATACTGCAATATAGTTGTCTATATATACAGTATTTGACTTTTTCTCTCTGTTGCTCAGCAACAATGAGTTCTTACGCATGCAGAGATCATTTAGCAGTATAAATCCTTACCTCAAACTCAAATGCTTCTGTCCAAAATAGAACAACCCAACGTATGTGCAAACTAAAGACATATATTTATCTCCATATGCTTCATATGCCTTCAAGCGCACAGTGTCTGATTATCTAGCCACGTACAGCAGGATAATGCAAGGATTACTGTTGTTGTTTAACATGACAAATTGCCCTATAGAAAACAGACAAATTATTAATTTCTAAGCTGGTTTATTATAAAGAGGCAAGATACAACCTGGCTTTACTGTCCAGGCTTTACCGGATATAACCTGGCTAGCCACTGGGGCGCCGGAAGCGATGCAAAGCGGCGGGGGCAGCTTGCTTCTCAGCCATCATTTTTCTGGGCGGCAATATTTGTTAAAATTTTACTACATATCTACTCGGCTATAATTATGGGTCGGCAAACGTCGACATTAATTTTGAACAATTTTATTCGTTGCACCTTGCTAAGGGCGCAAAATAAAATCAGTAAATGGACGTATATTGCCTGATTCAGTAATTTTACTACAACTGGTTTAAAATTAAGCAAAGATTGCTTAAACATTGCTTAAAAATAGTTATAAATTTCAATTCCTGTAAATAACGAACGACTTTCGAAGTGCAGTTCCGGTAAAGGGCACTCGACTTTGAGCGCCCTCTAGTTTATATCTATACTACTTTAGCTTATTTAAGCGTTTGTTAAATTTATCAGTTAACAGAGAATATTGTTTTTATACCGTAATCCAACATCTGAATTTATTAGAACGTTTTTGATTGCTATCCATGCATACAGTGCAAAAGGTCGTATCAGAAAATTGTCGTGACAGTAAACGCATGGTTTACGTTATCTGAATACTGGAATCCGGAAATTTTAGCAAACCCGGAACCTTTTGCTGCAGTGTAAATGTAATAGAATTGGGATCCAGTAAAACAGCCAACATGATTCCTAGCCCTTACTGCCCAAATTTTTGGACGATTTAAATAAAATAGAAAAAAGAAACCTCGCGGTTAGTATTGTCTCAACAAGCTTGTGGGAAAAGGGCGTGGGTGTCAATTCAGCCATAGTTATGTCTCAAACAAAACTATGGTGAATCCAGGTCAAGCACCTAGCCTACTTACGAATTCTATTCCCAGAAGCAAAATTGCTGGTGTGAATGTCATTTCAAGTGATACATTTTTTTACTGTGATTGTGAATATTCATATTAATTCATAGGTAAAATAGCCAACGATATTGCTTTATTTTGCTCACTTGATAATTAATTCAGTCTTTGGACTGGATCAAAATTAGTTCACCTCACTTTAAGTAGTGATTTATTCGTATGAGATGTCATTTCAAATCCTCCAATGGACCTTTCCCCTTATAACTAAAATTTCGATCTAGACAAAAATTTCATCACAGCTTGAAAGAGCATCACAAAATTAGTAATATTCCAAAGTTTTGTTGCAAAATGTTGTGAAATGCGTATGATATAGCCTTGCGAAGTTTGCCGTTTTTCAGTCATTTTGTATTACAAACGGGAAATTGACATACGATTCGGGTGTTGGGGCTGCAATTTCCCGTTTGTAATCTAAAATGACTGAAAATTGCAAATTTCGCAAGGCTATATTATCCGCATTTTCCAACATTTCGCAACGAAA